TATACGAAGTTATTACGCTTACGTTCCTTCGCCGAAAAGGAATACCATCACAAGCGCATGCGGGGCGGGGCACGAATTCGGGCTCCATACCTGAATTAGGAGCATCCGAACTGAAAATTATCTGAAGACACCGAAATAAGTTGGTGATATCAGAGCCCACAAAGAATTCTAGCTTACACGACACCATTTCTGAGACCTTTGAGAGCCGCTAGGAGATAATGTTGATCGTTGAACTTCTTCAGTAACTCATTTCCGTATGTCTCCCAATTTCTGATGATGTACGCCATCGTGGCGATCATCTCGATATCGCTACGCGCCTGAAATTTTCCATCATGAAGAGAAAAAAGAGACGTTAGACTTTCAGTGGTCCCATGCAGAGTTCATTCGAACGACTGTCGATAGAAGGAATTTAGACCATAAGAGTCAGCTTAAAGTGGACTACATGAGCGAAAAATTATGGCACTCATTGAATTGAGAAATAATTCTGACACGCTGATGCGATAAAGCAAATCAATAGAAGAAACTTGCCGATAGGCGTTAGCACCTAGATGTGTATCGAGTCTTCCGATCAGGTCAGACAATCTCTGATTAGGTCACCTCTAGTTTGCTCGCGCCTTACGTCTGAACCTGTTCCCAAATCTAAACCCGAACTAAAACATGAGCCTGAGTTTAAGCATGAGCCTAATCGTAAGTCTAGGCCTCGATTACCACGCACCTCCGTTGGCCTGAGCTTAGAAGTTTCGACAAAGGAAAAGGCGGTAGCACCCTACCCGAATGTTTCAAATTTTCTGAGGTCAGATCACCGGCGATACAAGAGACCTAAGAAAAACTCCATAAAATACTCCAGCCATTTAAAATGAGGTAGGTGTCCTACAAGATATTAAGCGCTATGTCTGTTTACCTGACCATCTATCTGTCACGAAATTCAGCACTGCATGAAGCCTACTGGAGAGGACGAGTCAAGCTTGGATTGTGTGCGGCAAGGGAAAGGATGTAGAGATCGAGTCACACTTGACCCAAAAATAACCAAAACTTAAAAATACAATAAAAAATTAAAATTAAACGTTGGGAAAGTGGAAATAAGTCTAACACAGAAGAAGTTCGGTGTCAGGACGATGCAAGAATTTTGGCTGCTCAAGATGTGGGTAGCCTATGAGCAAGAGGAAAACTATGTTCTACCTCAGCTATTGATATCGACAAAACCATAAACAATAGACTTACGTTCCTTCGCCAGAGAGTACAAAACTTAAAAGCACGCACACCCCCTGGCCCACGGACCCCCATATTAGCCATATTCTGACCCCGCCCACCGCGCAAACTCCGCCCACAACCCCTGAATAACACATTTTTGTAATTATTTTTTCAATTTTATGTATTATATCACACCCCCAACTGCACCATTCCACCACTACATCTCGTCCACCATCCAATCCCTTCCCCAACGCATCCAACTACCCCACCCATTGCATTAACCCCGCCTATTCCTTCATTTATAACAATTTTTATACTACGGAATTTTTCAATGTTTATACTTGTTATACTATATTATTATTATTGCTTTTATACTTATTATCTGCAAGAGGAAATTATGAGCTGCCTCACACGGCGCACTTAGCGCGGATGCAACCGCTCCTTAACGCCCTCCCACCGATGACATTCAATGAAGTCATCGAAAACGCACCTCCCACCAGCCATCGTGACCTCTGCCTTCAAGTATTTCCTCTCAAAAACCCAATCATTGAACATATCCCTTGGTCCAGCCTAGAGGTACAATTTTATCAGGACGAATCAAAAACTAATTCGACGATGGTTGTAAGAGGAATTCTCACTTCACTGATTTGAAGGCAAGGTTCAGAACTAAATTGATTTGGTAACCTCACTTAATTTTTGAAGTAGGGATGGGAGGTGAAATGCAGGGAAGATAAAATAAAGGAAAAGCGTAGGAGAAAACAGGCGAAAATACACTGGTGGGCAAAACTCAGGAAGGAAGGTAGCTTTTCCATGACATGTATTACTGGCGAGAAACATAAGCTTATGGAACCTAACGACACATAGAAAGAGCGGCTACCGCACAGTGCAGAAAGAAGTTGACAGAAACCGTTAAACGGTCAAAGCAACCAATAAGGTTATGTTACTTTATCTACTTCGTCCTTAGGTTTTGCACACCAGTGTAGGTACCCTTCTTTGCCTAGCAACCAATAAGGAAGTCTAAGAGGCATGCAAGGAGATGATAGACAACGTGAGTCGCGGAGAGAATAGAGAAGTCCAACTAGAAGGAAGTTACGTAGCGGATCAGTATGGCGATGCAGATAAGGCATCGAATGATGGGCGTACCCTGTTTTTTTGGAGGTTCGAGAATCAAAGTTCCCAGCGCCTAGCACCTTAGTGACGCGTTCCGATATGCGAAGGTGACGCGTACTCTGCAGCGAAGGAACTAACCTTTCTGCCACGTTGAGCGACTAATCAGAGAGGCAGAGCGCTGACCCTTGCCTCCGAGGAAAAGGATTGGTGATGCACAATAGACCCTTCTTTCTAAAAGCATACTGATTATTCAACGCCTATTGCTCGGCGGTTAGGAATGAAATCAACCAGTTTTCAACGGAACAAAACAGAAAAAATTGGCAGTAATGAAGCAGACTTTTGAGGAAGGAAAGGTCTCAATCGATAATGGCCGGTATCAGCCAATCGGAGCGCCTTCGCTACGTGCGGCGTGACGCAGAGAACTACAGCGAATCCAGCTCCGACTGCGCGAAGCCTGACCATCGGCTTTAACAAACACTTCAAAAACAAGTGAGAAAACTCACCTAAAAATGCTGCAAACTATAACGTCGATGACTTTATTTTTTTTTGTTCTCTGTTAGTTTTATCATTAATTTATTTTCTGGCAGTTGACTTAGAAATCGAGTTTCAATGGTCTAGCACTAGGGTTTGAAGGTAGAGCGAGAACAAACTAATGAAATATTAAAATTTAAAACAAGCCAAAAATGCCGGGAAAGGAATGTCACGTTAACTAATTGGAGGCACAGAAGACCAACATTCATGGAAAACAGTTGAAATGTGGGCGCTATTTGCAATATACAGGGGCATCTTTTAGGACTAAGCTTTGGAAGGCGACAGAAAACTTCAATGGCAATGAAACGTCATTGCACCTACACTATCTAGTCTCCGCCTGAATTTGGAGCTCGCTCCCGTAAAGACGATCGAAAAAACAAAAACAATTCCAAAAATCTCCACATAAAAGTTTAGATATTGTAGCTCATTTTCTAATGCATGCCAACCACATATGTCCCTGTTTCTTGTGATCACGCTGAAAATATGCTTTTGGCACGCACGCTTGCGCTGACAGGCGTGTCCGCGGAATATGCTACGGAACGCAAGTGATGACAAATGACTAGAAGAGTGTTTCGCTTCCAGCTTATTCTGGAAGCCTAGCCTGAAGTGGATTTTATCAATTCATTTCGAAGCAGCATGATCAAAAAGATTCGTGATTTATGATCCTCAGAAACGCCAAAATTGGAGTTTATGAAAACAATTGGCTCCGAAGGGCGGGTTTCATTATCGTGGAATTTAGTACCTGCACAAACTGGTGCAAAAAGTGGCGTCAAGGACCTAGACCAAACACTGTCTTGTTACTCTGCGCTGCCCCTACAAAATAAAAGCTAAAAAATGTAATAATCACTGCACCCTATGAATATAAAAATAATTGTGGACTTATAGGGATTATAACCAAAATTCAATTACCCTAGGTTACCTTCAAAGTTTAAATTTCTTATTATCAGGCTTCAAAAGTCATTTCCAAGCTGTGTTAGGTTCAGAAAACGAGTGTGGTGGCACTATCAATAGGTGGGGCGACTGATCGACAGGTTGTCTGATAACATCACCGCTCACCTGGAGAGAACAGGCAGAGGACACGACGTCGATTGATTAAGCGATCTGATGTGAGCTACGTCCTATCGATCAACTCCCTTTATTGAAAGGGGTTGGTGTGAGTTATAACTCCCAACATGCTGTGGGCGTGTGTTGAAGAGGGTCATCCTGAATTCACTATGATTCCTTACGATTAGATCCTCAATGACTGCTTTCTCTAGTACTTTCTAATTCACTCTTTTTGCAACCTCGACAGTTTATTTTTAAGGTAGGTTGTCTCACGAAGTTGTCAGGTGGATTACTCACTCAACTAGCCTTAACATTACTGAGTTATCGTCTTCGAAGTTGGCATTTACTATTGGAGCGAAGCTTCTCTTGCTTGAGACCCATGTCACAGAGCTATATGCTGGTCCAAAGAGACAAGTTGTAGATTCGCTCTGCCATCTGTGTGGTGCTTGTATTGTTGAGTGAGAGCCGGAAGGCCCGTAGGGGAGAGAGGGCCTAGGCTCAGTCAAGAGGCCTTAGTGGCTTAAAGGTGAGAGCCTTAGTGCCTCGTTAGTGGAGACTCTGTAGCCGGTGGTTTGGCCTGAGTGGCCCAAAAGAGCCTTGGTGGCTCGATGTCCTGGCCTCAGCGACCAGTTGGGAAGAGCCAAGTGGCTCGGGGAAAAGACACTTCTTGGCTCAAAGTAAAAGAGGCATTGCGCCGTGCACCCAGTTGCCTAGCTGGGCTCAGCGGTGGTTCGATTCCCTTCGAATACAATTTCGCCTGCCGTTCTCAGGTGATTCTTTGTAGTCATATATTTTTTTTTCTTGATTTTTTGATCTAGTAAACGCTTGCCTCTCTACTGATCTCAAAGCGACAGATTAATTAGGGGTATTCTCACCTTCGTTACACTGAAGCAGGGTCAACCGTCACGTTCGAACATTTTCGGGATTTTTGCGACCCCCTAGCTCTCGAGGGGGTCCAGTTGCGACCCCCTGTTTTTGTTAATAAGAGTGCTAGACATGAATCCGTTGCGCCAGAAAGCGTCTGCGCGTCGTCGCGTCGGCCTTGGAGCGCGGCAGGTATCACCCGGGCGCTGGAAGAACGGGACGCGGCGAAGAAAAAATTTTAGAGGGAATAACTTTCTTGGGACGTATTTTTTGACTTGTTGAGGTAGATTTTGATTGTGCCTGAGGTGCGCTTCCAGAAAACTACAAGGATTGCCTAACTCTCCGGAAAGTACTTCTGTTAGAAGTGGAAAACCCAAAATTCTAAGAAGGCGCACCTTCAACTTTGAAGGCCCATAAAATCTTTCGTATGCGACATTTTGGAAATCTGTAAAAAGTTTCAGAAACTTGAAATATTTCTCTAACAAATAGTATAAAAAGTTTAGTGATTGTCCCCTTTTTCAAAAAATTGTCCCGTTCGAACATTTTTCGTGCAAAAGCGAGTTTTTGGGCTTTCAGCGACCATAACTCACTTCATTTTCATTTCTGTGATGCACTTTTTTCATGGGGTGAAAGTACAGGATTTGCTCTTTCTAACAAGCCCCAACCGTTTTTCAAAGTTTATTTTTCGAGAAAATCACACGTTCGAACATTTTGGGGGGTTTTGCCGAACACTTTTTTTGAAATCGCGAGTTTTTGGGCTTTAAGCGGGCATAACTCACTTCATTTTCACTTCTGAGATGCACTTTTTTCATGGGGTGAAAGCAGGATTTGCTCTTTCTGACAAGCACCAAACCGTTTTTCAAAATCCATTTTCCGAGAAAATCACACGTTCGAACATTTTGTTCCCATAGGTTTTTGAGCAGCACATGCGAGTTTTTGAGCTTTCAGCAATAATAACTTCCTTCAAAGAACTTGTTGGGGAGGGGCGAAGACATTTTTGAAGACTACGAGATTTCTGCTTTCTTATATGTTTTACCGTTGTCTGGAAGAATCGTCCTCAGAAAATCAGGTCCCGAAGAACTTTAATTTCAGCCCCGAGAAGTCAAACCTTTCATAGGGATGCATTCAACTGTTCTTTATTCCTCAAGGAAAACACCGTAATTTGCCTAAAACTGTCTCTCTGTGCATAATTAATCGAATCTAATGCGGTCTGCACAAACAATTCTTGCCCTCGGATACGCCACGCACGCGCCTGTGGCTGGCAGTCCTCGAAATTGCGACCCCCTTCCGACCAAAATGCGACCCCTTCGTTCGAACAGTTCGAACGGACGGTTGACCCTGCACGAATCCGTCTATACACTACACGCAGCCATTTTGTAAATGCTGATTAGTTTAATGTTTCACAGCTGATGCCAAACGTCAGAATGAACTGCCAAGTAAAGCCGTCAATGTCAGATGCATGCGGTCCTGAAAACAAACTTCAACACTGGAGTAATTACTACTGTTACTGAATGATCTTTTTTATTCACAAAGATGATTTATGATCGTCGACGGTACTGGATGAACACGTGCCGTTCTAGATTTTTCGATTTGAAATCACCAAATTCGACCAAAGGATAGTGATCCCATTGAAGGCAGGAAACACGATAGAGTGGATGCGCACCGGAGACGTATACAATGGTGCCCAAAAAAGTCAGTTCACTCTTTTTCAAAACGGCATCGATCACTTTACTAGATTCAAACCAAGTTCCCTCTACTGGGAACTGAAGAGCACATTCCATTCTAATGAAAAACCTCGTCTCTCATAGCCCTCTACCCCGGCAACATGAGAAAAATTTGCAATGGAAACATTATGCACGGTTCGAGTTCAACGTGGTCCTCGCCGTGGACATTGTGACATTATCCGAAGAGCTGGTAGGAAGGGGTGTTGCACAGTCAGAGCTAATGCCTCTAGGAAGCTACTCACAAAAAAACCGAGCAAAGAACTTATGTAAGAGCTTCAGGCTGAAGCAGTTACGGTAGACCTTCTTGAGCTTGACGACGGTTGCAGATGACGTCATATCTTGAAGACGATCAGGGAAGTCAACAGGAGCGTTGGACGTGCGTAGGGGGGATATTCAGGATCATTTTGCCGAAAGACTTACATCGACCAGGGCAACCTATACGAATGGGTTGGAGCTTGCTGATATCATCAAGAACCGTGTCGCTCATTTTTTTGCCACCTCTTTAGGGCGTGGGATTCTGTCCATTGGAAGCAATAGCCAGATGGCAAAGTAAGCGAGCCATATGGTTTGTATGCCAAAAGGTTAGCTATATGCAGCGCTGTGAAGTTCCAAACCTAAAAACTACACATCTCCCCCTATACCGCCAGCGGACATGGGGATTTTGCGGTACCGCTATGGTTATCGTCTGAATTTCGTCTCGAAAGCGCATTTTGCGTCGAGCGGCTGTATCGTGTAATCTTGACGTTTGTTCGCAAAACGCCTTTTTGTCCTTCAGCGGAACCCGTACATCTCCTAATGCGTAAGCAGCGCCCTTTAGACAAAGCCGTACATAGATTTTGCTCAGCGAAACCCTTCTACCTCGTCATAAAATCACGTCAGTAGTCTTCAACCTACACATACAGATTTCTCTTTAACCTGCAGATACCGATTCCGCGATTGGTCGTGTATTGTGAATGGGTAGGGTCGTACTCCAGAAAAAAGGTCACATTTTTGGGAAGACAGGAGGCAGAACATTTTTAGAAAGTTTGGAATTT